TGTTATCACCATCTTACATACATACAACATAGCAAATTTTCGTTCAGCAGAATCCATTTTATGTTGTTAGTTTTAATATTAGAGTAAATTTACCTATTATCAAACTTAAAAGTAAGATTTTTATTTAGGCATCATAAAAGCTTTTATTAATATTATAATTTTAAAGTTTTAATATTTTACATAAGTATAACTCAATTTAAAATTAAAATATCAATAAAAGCCTAAGTGATGGCCTAGATAAAATTCTTACCTTTAAGTTAGATAATAGGTAAATTTACTCTAATATTAAAACTAAAAACATAAAATAGATTTTGCTGAAAGAAAATTTACTGTGTTGTATGTATGTAAGACGGAGATAATACATGTGGGTAAGGTGTCCTCTTAAATAGAAAGTATACTAGTAAAATCAACAGACATGTTAATATAATATGACTTTAAATTATTATAAATATTATATTCTATTTGAATAAATAACACTCTATATCATGGACATGGGTATATTATATTAACTATACATAAAATGTGTTATTTTTGAAGATAAATGTTATATATATGATATACTAATATACTTAATGTAGTATGCAACTAAAACAATAAATATTTCTTTTCTAAAAAATTATAATCATAAAAATATTTATAGTTACTCAGTTTTTGAACTAAGGTTTTATTTTTTTATTATTACAACTTTTCTCCAAAAATTAAAAAATGAAGGTAGAAGTAGATAGATACTATAATAATAATAATAAATTAATAATACTTAATAATAATTAAGTATTCTTTTATCTAATAATTTTTTTTTAGAAGTGATTTATTTAAAATATAAATTATCACTTCTGATAAAAATATTATAATAACCATAAATTGTAAGTAAAAAATACAAGTAGAGGATTAATATTTAATATCAATCAGAATTTTAAAGATAAATAATTTAGATTAAAATAAATACAAGCAAAAAACTAGATTATAGGTACTTAAGAGATTTTATCCACTATCTAGCAAATCAAATAAAGTTGATAAATTTAATGCTGAAATTTATTTTCTTAATATATTATAATTTCTTAAATTTAAAAATTGCCACACCATAGCCAATGAACGAAAATACTTCTAAACCACAAATCTATCTCAACTACTGGAACCAATACAGCTGCATCTGTATTCATATATATTTTCTGAATTATAAGCTAATTTGATACCAGCTTAATATGTTATTCTTTTTTAGGCTCATACTCAAAATAAATATAACAAATCTTGAAGTAAAATTCCCTATTATAAAAATTATAAAAGATAATATTTTTGAGTACCTATTTGATACATCAGGTTTTATATTATTATTTAACTTAATTTTTTTTTTTGTAAATTTAAATGGATATTTAACTATTCTGTCATTCTATGTTCATACTCTCAAAAATAATATTTTTTATAGCTTTTGCAATATTCATTTAAGATTAGATAGTTAAAAAATAAATTTGGATGAATGTATTTTTTGAAAGTTGCAAGTGGATCAAAGAGAGGAAACAAATAGTGAACTTGGTTAACTCAAAGTTGAAGGGACCAGAAAAAAGTTCGAGCTATTCAAATTGAAAATTTTTGAAACCGTTTAAAATATATTAATTCCTATATATTTATTATGAATAAAGTAATGTAATAAAAAATATTTACAGTGTATTTATATGTGATTTATGTATATGTAATTTTAAGGAGGTATGTATCTTTATGTATCTACACATAAATGAAATGAGGTAAGAAAATTATTTCAAAAAGGTATTTATTTTTGTTTGAGTTTTAAGTAAGAATGCACAGTAATGTATATACAAAATTGAAATTAATTTTAAATACCAATTGTTAAGTAAGGTGTGCAGTAGTACAGCGGATCAAAAATGGCTAAACACATTATATACTATATTTAACTGAACAAAAAACTATATCAACCACTTCTTAAAAACAATTGATGAATTTAATACAGCAAATAAGTAAATAATATTAAGAAAATTATATTGTTCAATTAAAAAATATTATTTAGATAGAATAAAACACAATTATCTATGGTTTAAATAACTGTATAGCAAAGCAAATTGCAAATAATTATCAAATTAAATAATAAAAACTAAAACTATTAATTATTGTTTTATCTATGTATGAATTCAGGTATCTAAATATTCTTTGCTCTTGTCTTAAGTCCAACAATTTTATTTACAGTCAATTCACAATTTGTTAAAGGTGATATAATAAAAAATTAAGTACCTAGGTATTAACATTAAATATATATGATTTTTACATTATTCATGTTTGATTATCTGCATATTTATTTTAACTTTTTAATTTTACATAAATTTACATTTATCAAATAGTCTAAATAAAAATAAACTTTTATGGTCAAAAGATAATATTTAAAATATATAAACATAAAAATAATATTTGTCCAATTAAATGCTGGCAGAAAGTATAAAATATATTCAGCAACAAGGACAAAATGTTAAAATATGATAATAATAATAATAATAGCTAAGTTAAAAATAAAAAGTACTTACTAATCTCATGGTATTATCAATAAGATAAATTAGGATGGTAAAATTAATTAGATAATTTAATTGATTAATTAGAATTTGTTAATAGATAATAGGTAGATAAATTGATCTAAAACAAATTATCAACAACATCTATTTATAACATTAAAAAAATATTTATTTAATATTTTTATAAATTATTTTAATTAACTAAAAACACTATTATATTAAATTGTAAATAAAGAAAACAAATTTAAAGGTTCCAACAGAAATTAAATTTTGCTATTAGCTTGTATATAACTAGAATTTTACTTTGAAAATTAAATTTAATAATTTCTTTAATTTTTAGGAGTAACCTAGCCACATAAATTTGGGGAAATACAGTATTAAAAATAGATACTATTTTTTTCAACACCAAGTATAAGCAAAATTAAATAATTCGATATTTCAAATTTATAAGTTTCAATAATATATTACAGAACTAATTGAATATTTTTACTTCTATCTAGATAGAAGTTAAAGATTCAAGTTTCATCTATATTTCAAACCCTTTTGGTGCATGTGTTCTTAAGTAGATACATAAATCAAATTAAAATTTCAATAATAATACGAGTAGGAACCAATATTTGTGAAAAACATTAAAATGGTTTATGTAATTATCATACAACATAAAATAAAAATATATGATTATATTTATTATTTTTATTTTGTTATATATAACCTGAAAAACATCTAAATCAGAAAATACAGAAAATTTAAGTTTTACGAAGCTATATAAGTATCCAATGTAAATAGAAAAAACGTTTTGATGTACAAATAATCACTTATAGTAGCTATACATAATATACCTACTAAACATATATTAAATTATGGAAAACATAGAAATATTTTCTAAATGACACTCCTTATACATAAGTTTAAAGTCACACCTACTATAAATGTTGTTAATATAATATCAAAACAGATAACTTTTTATCGTGACCTTGGATGAAAACGTGTATTTTAACATTTAGCAACACATAAAATGAAATGCATTTAATGTAATTAACTATGTAATATACTCTTCAGAAATCAAATCCTCATAACGAACACAGCTATATGTCTGTCATTGGTTTTAAAACCATTGTGTTCATCTGCCAAGTAACGATGTAGTGCGATAACAATGTGCCATGAATAGAGTACCTACAACTCACCTGAATGTAAAGCTTACGCCCAGACAATATTGTATCCCATTGTATATCCACATCAGCCGTGATCTGCATCCCAAACGTAATACGTACTGCATATTGCTTCTTGACATCCTCCAAAAGTTCGAATTCATGCACTGGTTGTGATTCCAGTACAGAGAGCTCCGATTGAATAAGCTTGCCCATGCCGCTGCTGCCCTCTCTGTTGCGTTTGGCTACAATTGCGGCATGGGGGACATCAGGACCACCACTGAGGCCCAGGGCAAAGAGAAATGGAGTATTGCGAGGGCTCAGCGTCCAAAATAGAGTTGTCGATGCCGTAGCATGCCGTCTGCCAGTCGCGCATTATTGACAACAGGCTGTTGTTTCTCTTACTACTACTACTACTATTACCGTTTTTACTACTTGATATTTTCTCCATGGTCACGCGGCACCTTTAAAACCTCCACAGCGAATAATTGCAAAACAAAATTATCGTCGAAAACTGTAAATCGGTTGTCCGAGTGTGTGTTAAGCACCAGCGAAGTTCTTGTGCGCCCAGATGACAACGTAAGAATAGACGAACACGGTAAGAAGTAAGAACAGTTTGAGACCAAAACACAATGGACGGGGGTTCTTGTTTGTACGGCACGGTCAACTGGCAAGAGGTGGCTGGTTCGTCCCGCTCCGCCTACCCATGACGTCACAGCGTTTCGTCTTTACTCTGCCATCCACAGTGTCACGTCATCTGTCCTAACGTTTCTTCCATGACGGATCCGACTTATTCGTTTTACCTAACGTCCTCGTAGCCGACCACAACCGCCGACGGAGTCGACGGACGACGGACTTGAACGACCAATACGGCTGGTTGGCGGTCGTGACGGAGGCATTATGTTTTCATCGTAAACTAAAAAAAACATAAAAAATCAAAAAGGTCATTCAATCACGCGATAAGCCGATAACGCGTCGGAATACATGAGGTATTGAGGTGCTTCTGCCACTGATTCGATAACACCGGTCGGCCGTGGCCTATTATTCTGTCTCTTATCCACCGGATGATTGTGTCTGCACTCCGCAGTCCGCACATGTTAAGCGTAACCGACAGATTCTTATTTCCTTTTGCAGCTCGACGAACGTTCAAAGATCATGATACTATAGAAGTTGTAATAGGTGCTTATCGCCGGAAATGAACTCACTGGTAACAGCTTGACGGCGTTCGTGTGTGCAGCGTACTTTACTCAGTCCTCGCAGCACAGTCTATGTAATTTCTTTTTGTGCAGCAAGCATTCACAGTACTATTCATCTATTCTGTGCTATAACTACAGTAAGATTTGTTATGGAGTTTATTAGAATTATGCCTTCCCAAAATCCTTTTTTACAATCGTATTGTAAAATGCCCTCAAAGGGCCAACCCTCTGAACTTCACTCAGTAAGTTATTTCAACGGTTTTTTAAACCGTCCTAAATCATGTACTTAAAAACTGTGAGATATGAGACACCAACTTTTTATTTTAAATTTTGATTACTTCATATTTATACATTATTTTATGCGACAAACTTATTGATTGTCAAACAATTGATTTTATAAAAATCAATATCGATATATCAACTTTCCAAAACTAATGAACACTCACTAGTCTAAAATCCAATTACACTAGAAATTTAATTTAAATAAATATTAAACAATATCAGATACTATTGTTAAAATTGTTGGAAACAAACAAAATCTACTCAGATAAAAATGTTGATGGACAAAATCTCTTTCGGTTCATTCACAATCAATTAAATAAACACTAAATTTAAATTTTCATAGGTATTAGAATTTTTTTTTTTAATGATTCTATTAAGATGTTACTATTACATTTTAATGTCTTGATTTGCATACCCATCGTAACCCTTTTGATATTTATTAAAAAAAAAAAATGCTCTCTTATAAATTTAAATTTATCTTTATTTGATTAAATTAATTTCATTATATTTAATAAATTATTAAATTCAGATTAATATATATATTTTTTTTAATTGTATAATAAGACATTCTTAGCCTATAAGGTTGTCTATATCTATAGATAATTAATAACAATAATTTTGGCTATTTTAACATGATAATAATTATAAGTAGTAATAGTTATAAAATAAGTTAAAGTAGGTTAGACATATTGACAATAATAATAGTGTAGATGAAGAATATAACTACATTATAGTTTAAAATTATTTACTTAATACTAATTAGCGAATAAAATCATGTGGACCATCTCATTTTAGACGCCTTTGAGGTAGTGGATGTATGTGTAAGTTGAAGTATATTGAGCCTATTGATTTGTGGAGTGAACTATGGAAATTTGTTGGAACGGCAGTTACATAATCTTGAATTTTATTGATACGAAGATCTTTATGTAGATTTATATATTAATAATTAGGATACAACTAAGTCTCATACATCTAAGATTTGGATAGAGTATTGTGAAAACCTCATACTATTTTATTTGAACTGGCATTTGACATTAGGAAATATTTATTAATTCAAATTTGTATAGGAATACAAATCCAATTTAGTTTATTTTTTATATTTAGTAAATAAGTAGTATTTTTGAAAATGAGAACATAATTTTTGTATGTATTATTATATACTATTATTTGTAGAAATCACAACTTTAAAATAAATAAGGAGATTTTGTACACCTATATGCTGATGAAAAAAAAATGAGTTTTATTATTGACCTTAAAATTATTTTTAAGTAAAATCTTGGACTTTGTTTAATACAAATAATTGTTTTATAATATTTATACTTATTATTTTAAAAAACCTCAAAATTTATCAACTCAATTTTGTAAACCATGTGATTTGTATCGCAAACTTAAATTAACTTAAAAGTATTGTTTACCATATTTCTTCAACTTTTGTATTTTTTTAAATTTTATATATTGTTTTTTTTTTTACTGAACAGCATTAAGTAAGTGTGGTGTACCTTGGCTCATTACTTAGGATATTTTGTTTAAATTGGACAACCTAGGGTCTTAATTAGTTTAAATTAATTAGATTCTGCTGTATATTTCAACTATAAAATATTAGATAATTTATTGTTTTTTTTTTGTTTTTAGAAAATGTCCAAGACATTATCTTGTAAAATAGGTCCATCTATTTTGAATGCTGATTTATCACAGTTATATAATGAATCTCAAAAGTTGATAGATAGTGGAGCAGATTATTTACATTTGGATGTTATGGATGGAACTTTTGTACCTAATTTGACTTTTGGACACCCAGTTGTTAAATGTTTAAGAACTAAATTGCCCAATACTGTATTGGAAACACACATGATGGTTCAAAATCCAATTCAAGTATAATTTTTAATACATAGAATAAATATCTATTTATAAGTTTGCCTAATATTCATGTTATTTAAAAAAAATTATATTAGTGGATTTCTGCTATGGCTGATGCCAATGTAGATCAGTACACATTTCACATTGAGCCATGTGATGATGTTCCTTTGGTATGCCGTAAAATTAAAGAAGCTGGCATGAAAGTAGGCTTAGCAATAAAACCTGGCACTCCTGTTACATCTGTTGAAGAATATATAGATATGGCTGATATGATTTTGGTGATGACGGTTGAACCTGGATTTGGTGGTCAGAAATTTATGACTGATATGATGCCAAAAATAGAAATGTTAAGAGAAAAATATCCCTCAATGGATATTGAAGTTGATGGAGGTATTGGTCCAAATAACATTGATGTTTGTGCTAAGGTAAAAAGTGTATTATTCAATTGAATAAATTTTTAACTAAATATTAAAATATTCTATTTTAGTATTAATTAGGGATTGGAAATTTAATTAATTTAACATTGTAAATGATTGTTATTGATCATTATATTTTAATATCATGAAATGTATTTCTGATTTCATATTTTATTTATTTAAATAATGAACATACAATTCATTCTATTGAGACAAATTATGTTAGTTTTTAAAGTCAATCAGTAGTTTAATTCAAAAAACTTAGCTTTTACTACTTAAAATCCATTATTTATTTATTATTCCATAATTAATAAAATATAAATTATATAGGTATTAATCATTAAATATTTTTTTTTAAATATATTTAGTGGTATAGTGGATACTCACTTTGCAGTTTCCTAATTTAAAATATTGCATAGAGGAAAAAATTAAAGTGAGTATATAACTATACAGTCTTATAATTCCTTACAAGGATAATCATATCAAAAATATATAATTTTATCAATGTTTCTAATAGAATATGCTATATAATAATGCAGGAGCATCATTTGGGGGGGGGGGGGATCAGGATGTGCAATTGCACTCTTTACTTTTAAAATATTACTAATTGTCCTACATCCTGCTGAGATCAAAATTAAATTTTCTTAAATTGATTTTTACTATTTATATTGGTGCAATGATTCGGTCCATATGATGTGTAGAAATAATTGAAAGCAGGAGAAAGTACAATGTACATATACGTATATCTATTTTTATATGGCCTGGTGAAATTTCAAAATGACCTGCTTGAAAGTTGAAACCTTGCACACCCAAAAAAAAATCTGAAATGACACCTCTGAGTTTATGCCTAAACATTTCTATAAAACTAATTTAAGAACAATTTAAACAGTTATGGTCAAACATCATAATTTTAATACCTATTACCTACCATCATTAAAAATTAATGACAACACGTATACTTCACAGTGTCAAAATATATTTATAATATAAATTGTGTAAACTGTATTTATTGCTTAATGTCTAATACAAGTTATATTTGTATTATTTGTTAGATTGTTCTAAAAATCTGCACTATATTAAATGACCACTAACATTTTTTAAAAATTAATGAGATTTATGACACAAATCATTTTTCAATTACATACCTCTATTTAAAATCCTTTTAAAACCAATGCAAACTAAAATGAGTTGAATTAATTAAACCTATTATTTTTAAATTATTGGAAAAATACTCAATGTATAGTGTAGAGTTGGTAGTTTCAAAACTGTCAATAGTTGAAGTTATATAAAAAATATTTCCATTGGTAGTCTTCAGTTGATTAGATTTAGATATCACCTTAATGTCTGGTATCTTAAACATGTTTTTAACAAAGCCATATTATGATTTTAGTAGATGCAAAATACAAATTTGTGTACCTATTGAGATAATTTAAAACAAAGTATGGAAATTATATTGAAAATACAAAAATGGCAAATAACAGTAAGATGTTTAAAAATATAACTTTCACTAATAGTAATAAAATAATTTGTATTAATGTCAAACAGTTTTTAACTAACATAAAAATTTTTTAATTTATGTTTACAAAAAAACAATGGAGATTTAAATGTTATTAACAATAATAAAATTATGAATAAGTCAATGGGTTATAACTTATAAATAATACCTACAGGTATAATAAAGATTCTGTTAAACATTTATGCTGCAATTTTCTATTGAATAGGTACAAATCAAATGATAAATTTCATAATTTATTATATAGAAATTGAAAATTATGAAAATATTTGGATGGTAAAAATATTACAAAATTAAGCAATTTAATAAGTATATTTTCAATGTCCATCCTACTCTTATCTGCAGAATGTGAAAAAATATTTAACTAAATAAATATTATTAATTTAAAATTAACTATTAAGTACAAGATTGATAATAAATAACATTTCTTAACCCATATTTATAAATTATAATTATAAATGGACTTAATGAACAGATCCTTGAATTATCTATGGATTGTTGATTAGTAAATTACAGATTAGTTGATAATACAAGAATGAGAAGAGCTAAACCTCTGCCATCAATTAAAAGAATATGTTTATGGAAAATACTACAAAAAATAAAATAAAATATTATATATTAATCATTACATATATTATAACCCTTTTGTCACTTCTATAAAATCAATCATTTATATACTTGCTGTGTTAGACCACTGAATACATTTCTTAAGTTAATCATAATTTTTTTATAATTAATAATTTAATGTATAGGTACTTAAAAAAATATATATTTAAAATTATACCATTGAATATCAATATTTGTTACCTAATTATATTAATAAATAAAATCCATGGTTTAGATACCATTTAATTTTATACTAAATAATAAAGAAATATTTATTTTTTTACAGGCTGGAGCAAACATGATTGTATCTGGAACCGCAGTGATCTTAGCTGAAAATCCACCTAAAGTTATTAAACTTCTTAAAGATGCTGTTAATAAACATTTAAATAAAAAATAAAATTGTCAATTTTATTTTTTAATAAAGTTTTTTGTTGTCAATGAGAGCATTAACATTTATTAAACTTATTATTTAAAATATCTTGTGTTTATTGATTGAATTACCCATATAAATTTATAATATATGTAATATTAATCAATTGTGATACTTGTATATATAAAATAAGTGTAGTAAATATTGATTTATATACTATACTAATTTTAATTGTTTTATATGTAATGCTTAAAAAATTAATTTTACTTTTAAGTTTTAAATACAAAATAATCAGATAAAATATAACCAGAACTATAAATTGATTCAATAATTGAAAAATAATAAAATGCTATTCATCACACTTTACATTATTACATTTTTAAGAAAAATCAGTGCCTTTATAAATATATAAAATAATATTGGATATTATAAAAAAAGTTATTCTTGAATAGAAAACTATACAGAAAGCATACTGATTAAAAATGTGATTATTTAAATTTTAATAATAATAAAAGTTTAAAGTCATAATCTTAATCCACTTATATTATTTACTTTCAACACAAAATAATAGCATAATAGATTGATTAATACTTAGGTTCTTCACTATTAAACATTCATAGTATAATTAATTCTATCCAAATTTGAATGATAAAATCATAAATGCAATCATTATTATTATTATTAGACATATTATATATATTTGAATAATTTATAAGTTAACATACATGAATATATACAATGCAAAAATCATCAAGTTGTCTTAATCAATCTAAATTAATGAACAATAAATTATAATAAAAATGATTTTTCTGAATTTACTTTAATCATAATAGTCTTCTATTATTTTAATATAAATTATTCAATTTTCTTCGATTTCAAAACAGCTTCTCTCATTTTGGTTACTTCGTTCTCCACTATATCTTGACATAGCGTTCCTTCTTCATCAAAATAATTTGCAACCGATTTGGATATTTCACGTTCTCTGATATCTGAACCAGTAGCATTTTTGCGTACCATAGTCAAATAATACATACCAGTATGTTTTTTAATGTAACTGCTGGCTTCCCAAACAACATCTGGATTAAAACCGGTTTCATCTCGTTCTAAAGTCACGGCAAATATACCTTTTTCCATGTATGTTGTATATAATGTAATTGCACCCATGGTAATGAAATATAAAGCGACACATACCGTAAGAACAAAACGCGATTTTGGGAATGGATTAAAGAAATCCCAACCAAGTGCAAATCCAGCAACCAGCACAGCAAATGTGCATATCAGCAAACGATAGTCAATCAAAGAAAAGTCCTCAACATGATTATACTTGGTAATCAATACTTCCTTCACTGCATCATCGAGAGTATTTTTTAAAGCGAGGTAATCCCATTTATTGATCTTAATTTGTTTATCTTCTGTGTTAGTATCTTCCTTACCCATCTTTAATTAATTAACTTGTAGTTTCCTTTAAATGATTTGATGCCTCTCAAATATTTGGGGTACTCTGAACAATAAGTATAAATATATAGTCTAATGTTACGGTATAAAAATTAGCATGAAATGTATTTCAATATTGCAAAACTTAGTACGTTAGTAAAATCACTTGATTATATAGACGCTTCATGTAGTTGAATACCGACGGCTGACTAGATTGGTGAATCACCAAATATTTAAAAATTGATAACACTATCAATAAACGTACACAAAATACGGTGTTTCCACAAAAAAAGATAAAAAATTCATAAATAATATTTTTTTTTAAGTTTAAGGATGATGAGATAAGGCCCAATGGCGGGCTAGTATTCAGTTTACAAAGATTTAAAATAAATAAAAAAAATTATTCAAATACTTTTCATCAAATGTGTATGGAAATGGAATATTCACTCTATTAAAAATATTAAATTATAATTTATAGTTTTAATTTTTAAGTAAGTATATACCAACAATCAACATACATAATATGTGTCCAATCATTCAGTAGGTACCTACGTGGCCAAAAGCTAGAGGCCAGAGCTGATAATGACTATATTAAAAGGAATAGGCTATTATAGAAAAATATGATTAGAAGATGAAATAAATGGATAGACCACATAACATGACACGAAGGATTGTTTAAGCTGATTATAGAAGGAAAGTCCAAGGCTAACAAGATACAAGATAGGTACGTTATTATGTTGTTCAAATAATAAAGCCAAGGTCCAAGGATGTGCCTTACGTGTAATATTGAAAAGGAAAGTGAACTGCAACAGAAAATAATGGAACTGCGGAAGAAAAGATGACTGTAAATTAATCTATAATCTGTATGGATTGAAACTATACAGAAAGATGTATAATTCAGTGGCGTGTAAAAAAATTGTATAGGTAAATAAAAAGTAATAGTTTTCTAATTTATACAAAAAATATTTATATAAGCGTTTAAGAGTATTAAATGGTATTTTTATATATTAAGAAAAATTATATATAGGTATTTAATAAAATTAATTGCCTATACAATATTCTTGTACCTATAGTATTATTATTATTTATTAAATATCATGGTGATTGGTGATTGATAGGTATATCTGTAATATAGTATATTACAGTATAGGTAGGTACTATAAATATAGTCATGTAGCCTTATAGGTATGAATTTATAATAATCTGATAAATACTATTTTTTATGTAAATTCATATTTAACAAAGTATAATCATCCTCTTCATCTGCAAAATGACTAAGGGTGTATATAGGATTTTTTTGAGAAGGGGTATATGAAATAACTTTTTAATGCTTAGGTAGGTATATAAATTATATAAAATATATAATTAATAAAAGTCTTTCAAAAGTTGTGTATAATATTTTTAATGCTGGTGCCCAGCTAAAAATAGTCTTTCATTATTAAATATAATTGGATATAGCTATTACAACCTTTTACCTTCAGTTACTCTGTGTAAGACATTTTATAATAATGATTTATGAACATAAATACATAATAAAGTATACTCTTACTTTACGTCTTATTTATTTATAAAATAAATTCTAATTTTCTATTTTTATGTTGTTTTTATTATTGTGTAATGTCATTGATTAAATATAGGTAGACATATAACTTATAAATATGCATATTTAATCAGTGGTAATTTTATTCACAGCTCACAGGATAACAAAATTTTAAGCAACAAATATACTGTTATAACGGATCTTACAAAAAAGGGCAAGGGAGAGGATATATCCCCCATAAATACACCACTAATGATGAATGCACCTGAATCTGCACCTTGATTGAGACAAAATATTTACAAGCAGATGTTCACATATTTTATAACTATATTTTGGTTCACTGGTAAATTGTGATTTACATAAAACCTCTGCGGAGGTGTAGATTACGGAGTTCTTATATGAAAATCAATTATTACAACTATAAGCAATGTATCGATTTTGTCATTTTCCGTGGGTGTAATATAAAATAAGTATATTGAGCGTAATTCAATAGGTACCTTATACTTTATAGTCGGTACAAAACGAGAATTTTAAATAGGTAATACTTTGGATGTCAGAGTGTACGATAACTTATACTGATAAGTCACGCTTGGCTTACTGCAGGCTAGGTCATGAACATCGCTTATAATGCGCTTATTCCTATTCTTTGTTTCCTTCCGCTCATGGTATATTAACTGTTTCCATACTTCGTACCGGAATATTAGACATATTATTTATTAGTTATTATAGTTATTTCGATATAATCATGTATTTACAACTAAAATGATATTACAGGTTACAAGTCGATAATTTTCAAAATATTTGATTAATTGTCTAAGATATTGATAAAATATAGCTAATTTTTTTTTTTATTATTAAAATTAAAATGTATCAACATGTTACAACAAGTTAGTTATTAATAACAATTTAAAATTATAAATATGACACAATATATTGTAATAATTCTAAAAAAGGCCATATATATTATATATATACATATTGTGTATATAATATATATGTGTTACCTTTTTCTTCTTTCTGACAATGTTTTCTCTATTGACGTCTTGAAGGTAACCGGTATGCGCTTAAGAAATTACAACACTTATTTTATTTGATTAAACTTATTAACTTTATTATAAAACTTTTAATACATGATATATATTTAATTTTTACTATTAACAATCTTAAATGCTTATGTATCTTTGTATATACGATGTGTAGTCTTTTGCTCTCGCTTGTAATCATCTATACAAAGAGACCTAAGGACACTGTGTGTGACCGGCCTTTTTATAATTAATATCCTATGTGTGTGTGTGTGTGTTTTATCTATTGTTCTTATGATCCGACTATAGGTCATTTTATTATATTGTAATTAAATATTTAATTTTTTGTCTTACATGATTATATTAATAGATGACTTATAGCTAAAGGTTATAATTGTTTATTTTATTATACAGTAATTAAATATTTGATTTTTGTCGTATATGATTATATTAATAAATGACTTATAGCTAAAGGTTATAATTATTTATTTTATTATATAAATATTTAATTATGATTGTTTGGAAGCACATCATTACGCAATATTATATTGTGTTCGTGTTATGGATATACAGAATATGTGGTGTGTGTTATGGGGTAGGAGCGATGGGGAGTGTGATTTTGTTTATTAGGGATGTTAAAGCAGTGAGAAGGGGGTTAAGTATATATTTTAGTTCATCGAGGAATTTGGTGATGATGTGTAGAGATTGATTGAGTGGTGGTTTGTTAGCTGTGGTTTCGGCATATGACGGTTTTTCATTTGAGCATTATACCTATTAAATTAATTTAAAATATTGATGTATCTACACGAATAGTTATATAATTTCTTAAAGACGTAGGTACTCAGAATTTTTGTATTCCGGTTTTAATAATTATTCCTCCATCCCTACCCATACTTATAAAAGTTCAATATTTTACTATCAATAAATTATATTTTATTTAAATACTGCATTGGTTTTAGTTGTTTGTTCATCGGTGCACAATAACGACGAAATTAATAAAAAGTTTATCAACAATATTGATTCAAATATTATTTAGAAAAAAAAAAAATCAAAGTTGCTTTGCTGTATACCAGCATGTAAAATATAATATTTACACAAATGTACATAATATGATAAATTGAACTGTATTGAAGTATTAAACTAATTTTTGCCAACAACAAATTGCATAATATATTATATGATATTATTATGAGATTATTTTTTTTTTGTTAAAATATTATGCCATATTATCGCAAATTATGCTAGAATATTATTTTGTGGTAAAATATTCAATTTCAAATAAGCTGATAGGAGGTCAATGTTGTGATATACCTAACCACAACACTTTTGGTTTGATGAATTATGTATATTATTTATATTGTATAAGTATATATAAATTTATTAAATGTATACGTTGAATTATAAAAAAAAAAAATCTTCGATTTGATTAGTCAAATCGTATTAGGCAATTGAAGTGTTAGAAACGTGCACCAATCTCATCTATAATAACCGATGGCAACTATTTATAAATAAGCAAAAACATATTCGATATTCGTGAGCCAAAACTAAGTTTAAGGATTGAGCCACTCTACAATAAAGAAGGGTTGTAATAATAAATAATAAACATTCTTCTAGTCTTAAGGAATCTATTGATATAACTTTTATTGAAAACGGTCAATTTGTTCAGAAGTTACACCTACTACACGATTACAACAGATAGAAGAATTACATGACATACAAAAAGATATATATCAAAACTATCACTTGCAGCGCTTACTAAAATAAAATTTGCTAAATAAAAAAAATGTATTATTTTTATATCTACAATTTCTAATTAGATCGAATATTAGCTGATGTACCAAATATCAATGTATTATATGATTTATAAGTATTGTCGTTTGATTTTCTATGTATTAAAATGTAATAGAATTATTACTTTTACTTACATTTTTAAAATTAAATTATTAAAATAATTAAACAGGTACCTTTATTACAATTACACCTATTTAATTTAATTATTAGATTAAATATTTCATTAAAAAAATTTGGGATTATAATAATGTGTATGATGTGAACTCTGAGGGCCTTGGCCTTTTGCTTCCTTTCCCTGGATCTGATCCAGCTATATGTATACACAGAGTATTCAATATAATACTATATATATTACTATAAACTATGTAACACTAGAAATTTCAAATTATGCGTTGGCTGTTACTCTCGTATGCATATTAAACAATAAATATGCATGCTAGCCATGGCATAATAATATATTATGTGATTGTCGATTGACATCTCGATTTCGTAGTTGAATATTTATTTCAAATGATACTGTATGCCTATAAATTGGTTTTCTATCATCAAAAAGTTGTTATTTCTTCGTACACTCGTGGACAATTTGCAGATAGTAAATACATTGGTACCGGTTTTTGTATTTAACCTCGTGCCATGGTGTACATATTATGTTTTTTTGATATCGACAAATCTTTTTGAAACATGGTAGCTTAAAATAAAATACCGTTTTTTCAGGCGCAGTATAATTTTAATGTACCTAAAAGCTGTATAGTGGCATAATCTTTTGAATTAATATAGGTACACATTTACATTAGCCGAAGTGTTATTTTTATGAATAATTAAATAATTAAATCGCATTATATTAGCATTAATAATACCATATTATGAGAATCCTTTCAAAA